AAACAAACGTCTAGAAGCTAAGCTTGGCAGCTAAAGAAACGTCCAGCAAGGAAGCCCGACTATGAAGACAAACGTCTAAGGGCAAAGCTTGGAAGCCAAGGAATCGTCCAAATACGAAGTCCGACTCTGAAGAGAAACGTCGAAATGAGAAGGGGCAACACGTTTAAAATTTTTACATTACAAGCTTATTATGACGCTAAACGTCTAAATGGTAAGCTTGAGACCATGTGAAACGTCCAGAAGCTACGCTTGTAAGGCAGGCAAACGTCCAACATGGAAGCTCCACTGTGTAAACAAACGTCCAAAAGCTAAGCTTATAAGGTAGGCAAACGTCTAACATGGTAGCTTCACTGTGAAAACAAACGTCAAGTAGCAAAGTTTGGAAGTCAAGTAACATCTAACTGGAAAGCTTGAGGTCATGTGAAACGTCCAAGAGTTAAGCTTTATAGCATACTAAACGTTATTTATTGAAGCTTGCCTATGAAAGCAAACGTCCAGAAGCTATGCTTGGTAGCCAAGCAAACATCCAACATGGAACTAAGCGTGGAAGTCAAATAAACGTCCCAGCAGGAAGCTTAAGTCCCTATGGAACGTCTGATTGTTAAGCTTAGGATAACAACAAACTTCTTTAAGGAAAGCTAGATGTATCGAGAAACGTGCAACGTGAATGTTTCCTCAATAATTTAATTTTTTCCACATATCACCCCCACTACTTTCTCAAATATCTTACAATAATCAACATAACATCAACCCATGCAACAAATCTTTAAAAGAATATAGAATTGTTATAATATACACTTATTTTTAATATAATTTTAACAATAACATCGTAATTAACTTAATAATGACAAAATATTTTTTTAATCGAATCATATTTTAGTAGAATCGTAATTTTTTTATTAGTTTACAAACAATTCTCATAGTTGTGAATTGATCTCGCTTAGACTATTAGTCCAATAGAAATGACCTCATCTTTTAGTGAATCAAAGTAGATGTGCATATTTTTTAGTGAATCAACGTAGATGCACATTCATGTTTACATCTTATGGGTTTAGAGTGGGTTTAGAGTACTAGTCATGGCGGCCCAGCCAGGTCCGCCAGTTCACCCGAACCGGCCTGTGGTCAATAGGTTCGGAATCGAGCTCGTAGTTTAACAAACATCTTTAATACGCACATAGGCCCCGAATCGGCCTAGTCAAAACTACGAGCTCGGTTCTGAACTTGTTGACCATAGGACAATTCGGGTGAACCGGCGGACCTGGCTGGGCCGGCCCATGGCCATGACTAGTACTCTAATCCTGTAAGGAAAAATTGGAGATTTCG